TGCAGCCACGGTTCAATCCAAACCGGGGTTCCGGCTCACCAGGTCCACCTTCTTCACACCCCTGGCAGCCCTCACTGAGAATGCCAGCCTTTAACATCGAATCGTCTCCATGGCAACCGGCTGGGTGTCACGGACACAGGATTACGACTTCACGGCGTGGGGATTCCAGAGAAGGGGTTGGAGGGGGCGCGCCCCCCAGCCCCTGACCCAAACACGAACTGCGGACGGGGAACCCCTCTTCCGTCCTGCCCCGGGCCCCAGCCCGACCTCTCCCGCCCAGCTGCCACATAGGGGACGAAGGTGGGGAGGGCTTCTTACGGGCCCCCCAGCCTTACGCGGGGAGACGACGCGGGCTGGGAGACGACGGTGGAGGGACATCAGGCGCGGGCGCGGGGGGCGGGGCGCGGGGCGGGCGGTCCCCGCCGGGGACACAAGTCCCGCCCTCGGGGGCGGCGCCTGGCGCCGGGGAGTGTCAGGAAGAGGAAGAGCGCGGCCGGCGGCGGTGCGCGGCGCGGCGAGCAGGGGCCGGGCCGAGGCGAGCTCCGCGCGGGCCACCATGGCCACGGACGAGCTGGCCACCAAGCTGAGCCGGCGGCTGCAGATGGAGGGCGAGGGCGGCGGCGAGGCCGCGGAGCAGCCCGGGCTGAACGGGGCGGCGGCGGCCGGGGCGCCCGACGAGGCGGCCGAGGCGCTGGGCAGCGCGGACGGCGAGCTGAGCGCCAAGCTGCTGCGGCGCGCCGACCTCAACCAGGGCATCGGCGAGCCCCAGTCGCCCAGCCGCCGCGTCTTCAACCCCTACACCGAGTTCAAGGAGTTCTCCAGGAAGCAGATCAAGGACATGGAGAAGATGTTCAAGCAGTGAGTGCCCGCCCGCCCCGCGACCCGGCCTCGGGCCCCGAACCCCCAGCCCCGGATCCCGCGCCGCCCTGGGGCCCCCGCCGCCACCCAGCGCCCCCGAACCCCGACACAGCGGCCACTTTCAGATCGAGAGCCGCCACCCCACCGCACATAAGGGTCTGCGGCGCCCAGTACCCCATAGGCGCGCACGTGGAGGGGGGACCCCAAGACTCCTTCCAGATAACCACCAGCCCCCGCGAGTCCCCCCCCACCACACGAATGGGTCCCGGGACCCGTGCCCTGTTGGTGACCCTTCCCCACCACCCCACAGCCGCACACACTGACATTGAGGACCCAGCGGCTTCTCTTTTCCCCAACCCAGTTCCTGGCGTTCCCCACCCCCACCCCAACACACCGTGGTCAAAGACACTCACCCCTGGTGCCTCTCCAGGGTGACCACTCCCTGCGCCCCATGCCAATCACATTTCTTTCAGTGCGGTCTTTTTGTTTTCTCTGCTTATCTCAGTTCCCCCTGAAGATGGGTCCTGGGCAGGGACCCCCCCCCCTCTAGTTATTCAGCATCTGAATAGCAAACGGGGGGGGGGGGCAAATACTGGCCCCTTCCACCCTTACCCTCCACCAGGGCCCAAAGCCTTGACCCACAGTGGTCTCCCTAGGGAGGGACCCGTTTGTCCCTGTCCCCCACTCTGCAGGCATGTAAACCCCTCCACACTCACCCCGTCATCCTTGCAGGGCTGAGTCCCCTCTGCCCTTAGAAGTCCAGCCTCCTCCTCCTCCTGTCCAGACCACCCCCTGCACCCAGCACCTTTGCAGCCACTGCTCCCTGCATTCTGTCAGAGGCCCATCTCCTCCCACTGTGGGACCCCTGGTGCTCCACACACACTCCAGCCAGAAGGGCCCCTCCCTCTGACTTGCCCAGTTACTCCCACCCCTGCCCTCTGTTCCCTATGATTCCACACACTGTGCCCTCAGGGCTCAGACAGGCCCTCCCCTCCAAAAAGAAACAAACTTACTATCTCTGTGGAGCCACTAGGGAGAGAGGGCTGCAGCTCCCCTTCTGATCCACCCCTGGGTCCCACCCTGTTGGCATTCACTCTCCCAGCCATGCTTGTGCCAGGGGGTGGTGAAGGTGCCCAGTCGCCTCCCTTTGGTACCCTTCCCCACCTCCTTTTCGCCACCCCCCTGCCTGCCCCAGCTCCTGGAGAGGGAGCAGCCCAGAGGTGCTGGTCTGGGGTGGATCGGAAGGAGACAGAACCATCCTGAGGCTGAATCTTGGGTCGGGGATTTGGGGGTTCCGGCCCCTTGGGCCCGGGCGGCCCGGGGCGGGGGGGGGGTTTCCCCAGGGCGGGGTTCCCTTTGGTTGGCCGGGAGTTCGGGGGCTTGCGGGGGGTGTCAGTCTCAGCCACACACAGCTGTCAGTGCCCAGGCCTCAAGCAGGAAGCCCAGGAAGGGGCGTTTTGCAACCCCACAGCTTGAGAAAGCCTCTGGCCCGCTTCTCGCCACTTGCTGCAGCTTCTGCATTTGGCCCCGATGCAGGGGAAGAGATTGTTAGTTCCCAGCCTGAGGTGGCTGGGGAGCCCCACGCTCTCCCAGGGGTCAGTCCCTGCCCTAACCGGCCTCTGGACCTCTGCGTAGAAGCCCCAGGTCCCTGAGGAGCCCACCTCTTTGACTGCAGGGTCTTGGTGGAAGTTCTTTCACACTTTCCTCCCAGCCAAATCCTGACCAGGTTGGCAGAGCAGGATTCCCAAGATTCCGGGAAGAATGGCTGGAAAGCCCCCTGGGCGGAGGGGCAGGTGTGGATCACTGTCTGGAACTTCCTTGTAGAGTCTGTCCTGTGGGCGGGTGCAGAGGTGACTCTAACAGGACAGAGATCCCTGTGTTGACAGTGCTGAGGCACTGAGGAGCTTATCACATCCTCCCGCAGCCCATGACATAGCCTCTTCCTCACCGTCGTGCAGACAGGAGTCCCAGGCACAGAGAAGTTAAGTAACTTGCCAAAACCATGCAGCTAGAAAATGATAAAGTCAGGATTCGAACTCAGGTCTGTGACTCCAAAACCCATGTTTTTCCCCTCTAGGTTTCCCGTCAGAAAACACACTCCAACACCCCCTTCCGTGTTCATGGTGGACTTTCCACCTTGCGTACCCACCACCAGCCCCACTTTCTTCTTTGCCCCAGAGCCCTCCTTCTCGTGGGCTTCCATCCCTACCTGCCCCGCCCAACACACACCCCAAAAGGTAGAGCTGTTTCAGGAGAACCAGACACCCCAGAGCAGGACCTGGGAGGCTGAGTTTGGTTGGATGGGGCGCGGATAGGGAGCGGGCTGTGTGTGCGAGGCAGGCTCGCTTGACGCAGGCTGGTTTTGGTGCGAGTGTGACAAGGGGTACCTGGATGGAGAATGGGGGGAGCCGAACCCTCCGGCCACCTCTTGGCACCAGGACTGCTTGCTGGGGTGTTGGGGGGTTGGGGGTTGGGACACAGTGGGCCAGGAAGCTGGACCTCTAGGGAAGGAAGTGCCGCCCGCCGGGGGCCTGGGTGAGGGTGAAAAGCTGCAGATTTTGTATTCAAGGAAACAAGGCTTTACTGTGCCAGCGGCCCGGCCCCACCAGTCCCGGCTGTGCACAGCCAACAGACCGGCTCTCGTGGAGGACAAAACCCCCTTCTGCTTCCGCTGCCGCAGTGGGGCTGTAGCCTCCTGGGTCCAAGCAGGGCCGGGGGATCACAGCCAGGGCTCTGTCTGTTGAGATCCAGATCGAGATCGGAGGGCGGGGAGGAGGGAGCCTGCCGCCCTGGGAAGCCGCTCAGCAGAGCAGAGTGCAGGACACCGGGAGGCCAGACAGAGAACTGAGAGCTGGCCTTTCCTTGGCGGCCAGGAAGCTGGGCATCCGCCCTAGCCTGCTGGCCCTCCCTGGGCCTCAGTTTGCCCTTCTGTAAAAGGGGCAGGCTGTATCTGAGGATTCCCAGAGGTCTTTTGGCTCTGGCCTTATGTCTGAGGGGTCCTGAGCCCTTCTGGATGTCAGAACTGCCTTCCAGGGTCTTTGGTGCATCCATTCAGTGTTGACTCAGCACCAGGGATGGAGGGAGGGTAGACCAGCTCTCTGCCATCACCGACCTAACACTCACAGCTGTGCAGTTCCTCCTGGGAGAGACCTTGCGGCTGCCCATTTTACAGAAGAGGAAACCAGGACCCAGAAAGAGGTAGTGACTTGCTCAGGGTCACAGGGAGGTTCTCAGTAGCCCAGCCAGAGCATCCTTGTGCAGTGGAGACAGTGGTGCCTGCTTCTCAGGTGGGGCTCAGAGGCGGTGACGTGCGTAGCATTCTGGCCCAGTGCTGGGCACAGGAGGCACCGTGTCATGGAGCCCAGACTCGGCGCGCCCTCCTCACACCACCTCGCTGCGTCCATCACCTCTGAGCTCCTGCCCTGCTCTCACCCTCTCTGCCCGTCCATCCAGGGCTGTCTCTGGAGCCCTCCAGTCGACAGGGGCCGTGGGATGGCCCCAGAGGGTCTCAAGGGTGCACCCCCACCCCCCGGGGCTGACAACAGCCTAGGTGGGGCTCTGGAGGGTTTTGTAAGCTGAGACCTGCCGGAAAGGTAGGCAGCCTGGAATCTGAGGAAGATGCCCTAGTTCCTGTCTTGCCCAGCCTTGCCAGCCCGTCCCCACCCTCATCCCCAGCCACGTTATCTTGTGACCTTGGTGTCTGGGAGGCAGGCTCTTGGCTTCACAAGCTCCTGAGGCCTCCCGCCCTCCCCTTCCTTCCTTTCCACCTGCTCTGCCCCCAGGGTATCTCTCAGACCCCTGTCACTCAGGGCGCCTCTTCCAGGAGTCCTTCCCAGAAGCAGTCTGGCAGGGCCTCGGGAGTCTGCAGCCTTGGGTTTGAATCCCAGCTGTGGGCCCTGGAGCAAGTCACGGGAACCTTCTGGGCCTCTGTTCCCCACCCTGGAGTGGGGATGCTAGTAGGACCCACCCCACAGAGTCGTAAAGGGCTTAGCCCCGTGCTTGTCACAGAGTGGTTACTAAGTTACTGTTGCCACCATCATCCCAGGCTCAATATACACCGTCTCCTGGCCCCTAGCGGGGCCCTCGCAGTGGTCGTCGGGGATGGAAGTGGGCCCACAGAAGCCACTGGCTGCCTCCACGTACCCCCAGTGGAGCTTCCGGGCCTTCCAGGCTGGCACCAACCCTTTGCTTTGGGCTAGAGTGACAGGACCCAGTGCGAGAACCCTCCTGTCCTGCTGAACAGCCGCTCTGACAGCTGCATGTGGCTTTGCGAATGACAGGAAGGGAGACACGAATTCATTATCCCCAGTGATGCCGAAGGCAGGTGGCAGAAGAAAGGGAAGCGCAAACAGCGGCTCTGGAAGGTGGCGAGGCTGGGAGGCCAGAATGCCACTGCCCAGCTGGGTGACTCTCGGCAGGGTACTCACCCTGGGGCTAGAGAAACTCCCTGGGGTGAAGGTCTGAGGATTTGGCTTGGAAAGCCCTGAACCTTTGTAAACAGCCATGCTGGTGTCTGTTCTGTGGGCGGTTCACGTGACGGATGATGTTTTTGAAAAACATTAAGATCCACTCGTGATCGTTCCTCCAACAGATGTTTTAAGTTTCTGCTTCGTGCAAGTTCAGAGAATTGAATGAAGAATCAAGTTCCTGCCCTTAAGAGGCTTAAAGTCTCGTGTAGAGCAGTGACGTGTAGAGGGTTGGGTGGAGAGGGTGGGCCCCCGGACCTGGCAACAGAGGTTCCTTTCTTTACTTCCACCATGAGGACTGAAAGCGCTCGGGACACTGTGCCGTCGCGCTGTCCGCGGCCAGCCCCCTGCCTCTGTGCCCCCTCCTCGTTAAATGGAGCCACCAGTTCCAGCTGTTCCTGAGGGAGCCTACGTGTATTATTAGGGAATTGAATTTAATCCTCACACCAGCACCGCGAGGTGGTTGCTATCATTATCCCATTTGACAGATGAGGAAACTGAGGCTCAAGGAGGTTGAGTCACTTGTCCAAGGTT